CTCCCCTCCGGAGCCGGGACCGGAGCCGGGACCGGGCCCGCCGGCAGTGCCGTGCCCAGCCCCGGCCGCCCCAGCCCCGGCGGCCCGGCCCAGCTGGCAGCGGGAGGGATGGGAAAGATGCAGGTGATGCCGTTCAGTGCATCCCAAGGGCGAGGAGCGCCTTCGGGTCCCGCTAGGAAGGCTTGGCAGGAAGGCTGCAAGTTAGATTAAAACGTGGGGAAGGAGGAGAGGGGGGAAGGGAGATGATGAAATGGCGTAAAGAGAAAAAGCTGAGTGTGCTGGTGGTTGTGCATCTCGAGGATAATTGGAGTGGGGTCCAGCAATCCTCCCTCTGGAAAATGTTTGAAGAGCAGATGTAATTTGGTAGCATTACAATGCCAAAAGAAATACGACACTCTTCACTGTCTTCTTCCTAAAGAGATAAAAGTCGTTTTAGCTTTAATTTCCAGTTTTCTTACCTTGTCCCAGTAACACGGTCTATTACAACATTATCCCATAAGACATCTTTACACAAACTGTCTCTCAAAACAAACAAGGTAGAGTTAAACAATACCAGACCTTGCAATACACGCTGTGCAGCAAACCCGTGGTCAAATCCTGCAGCCTTACTTCGGCAAAGCTTCCATTGACCTAAGCAGAAATTTGATGTGAGTTAGGATTGTGGTATTTGGCTCTCGCTGGGTGCTACAAGAGCGAAGATTTCACGTCAGACCTGCAGCAAAGACCTTCCAGTTGTAAGAAAGGGGACATGAAATAAAACCAAACGTATTACCAAACAGCAGAAAACAAGAGAAAGGATAAGGCACAAAGAAAAGTTTTACAAGGCAAGGAGTTTATATTGTTATCACTGAGGATGCGCCTCTCGGCTGAAAAGGCCTTTTCTGGGTGATCCAGGTAGCTAGGAACAGGCAGAAAAATGGGGGGGAATTGTGAGGCAACCAAGGGCAAGCCTGAAACAGTGAATTTTCCTGGGGATAACAGAATCCAAAGTTACAGGGAAAAATTCTTCCCAGGAAACACACCTGAATGTTTTAGTATTTAATTTCACACTCAAATTCATTTTCAATACCTTGAATCATCCAGAATCTATATAGTCTCACTGGCTACCAGGGGATTTCCTATTTTCTTCACTTTTAGAAAGCCGAAGGTAAAAGCTGACAACATTTTGTCTTCCTGTCTACGTACCTTGCATTAACAAAGTGACAGCAGAACATGAACATTTATTTGTTCACCGAAGCGACCATGGTGCCTCCCCAGGGAGGTATTAGACGCTGCTGCAATAAAGTCTTTGTCAGCATTTCTGTTTTAAACCACACTTGAACGGCTTCCAACAACTGCAGTCTTATATTTCATTCAGGCTTTGTTTATTAGCATTAAGAAGAACTAAAATGTGTACATTACAGATTGGGTTCGGAATGGTTTGGTGCCATTCCATGAAATCTATCAATCCCTTAAATAAGATGTCTCGTATGCAGTAGACATACAGTTGATTTATTAACCCTTTAGCATCAGCATTAGGGCTACTATGGAGAGAATTCTGCCCCAAGAGTGACCCTGGGTAAATCCTGCCCTCATTTCGGTGCACGTCGACAGGAGCCATTCTGCAGCACACGGCGAGATGGGCTGGGGGCATTGCGTGCCGAGATCTCCCTTTCCAGCAGTGTTTGCACTGAAGAAGGCACAGCTTGAGATTCATGCCAGCTACACATACAGGGTGTAAATAAGCTTTGCTGACTCTGATTATGCAGTGACTTAAAACAGTATAAAGTTTTAAAAATAGCATTGGCTGTTCGGTTTTCTATATTGAAAACTACAAAATTAAGCTGACAAAGTAGGACGCTTCGCTGCCATTTGGTGCTTTGCTCTTTAGGTCCTTGTTACAGCCCCTGCCGTGGTTTGAACCCTGCCTTCGGGCCGTTTGGGCAGGGTCCTTGGCTGTTCTCCTGTAAGGAGCCCGGGGGCTGGTCAGGCCGTGGGGAGGCACAGGCCAGGGGGAGGATTACCTGTGCCTTGCCGTTTCCCCGCCGCTCACAGCTCACACGTCTCTGAGCCACGTGTCCACAAATGGGTTGGGAACGTGCAAGGGGTGCTCCTTGTTCCCTCCCCTGTGTCCTTCTGCCTGGCAGCTCTTGCACTTACTCTGCAGCTTAGTTGCTTTCCGTCGACATTAACACCCTTCAGAGCTGCTGAAGCTCCTAACAGAAGAAATGCACACCACCTAACTAATGCAACGGAAGAAAGCAAATGAAAAAGCACAAGGAAATCAAATTGCTTCCCCGGTGTCAGACAGTGAGTATGTGGCACTGTTGGAAATAGTCAAGCAGTCCGCAACTTGTTACCCATCACCTTGTGTTTTAGATGAGCTCCAAATCTTTTCTAAGCTTCATGGCAAAAATCAGTATCAGTTTTATCCTTACACTTGCTTCTTACAGCCTAACAAGCAAAACCTATTATGTTTAAAGCTATCAGATTACGTGTGTTTATTTCCAGAGCTATATATAGCCATCCGCATACTTACACACACCAGAAGACATGGTCAAGCTCCAAATGTGTTAGCACTCATTGCAACACAGTGATGCTGGATTTTCATTTCCTATGGTAAATGTCCCAAGATCCCATTTTTCCGTGTCTGCTATCTCCTTCTTGACCACAGCCTATCCCTGATTTCTCTTATCTCTTCAAGTAAACCCAGGGATTACTGAAATACAGAATTAGTTCTTTTGAGATATGACTTCTTGCCTTTCTGACATGATTGCAAGCTCTTCTTCTGTCTGTTTTCTCCTTTTCCAGCATTTTTTTTCCTCCTTTCATGATCTGACTTGCTCATCTGTCACTCCAGATTACAGCTGCTGAGTTCCAGCCACACTTTGGGGCACAGAACAGGAGCTACTCCTAAACGGTGTAAGAGGTGAGGAAAATGGTTCCTATCCGTGATTCTCCTTTCAGAAAATGTACAGGAGAGAGTAACAGTTAGTATATTGCCAGAGCCTAAAAATAAATTTTAAAATTAATGAGAATTTGAAGGAAAATGTGTGAAGTGGGAATGTGAGGACTGAGTATTAGAGCCCGAGCCTTATCCCACTGCCGTCAGTAGGAGCTTTACCTTTGACTTTAGTAGGAGCAGAACGGGACCCACACAAGTTTCCTGGTACAGTCCCAGAATTAGGAATATTTGGCAGAAGATCCATGCTGCTATTGAGTTCCCTTTGGAGAACTGATTTTCCCTGCACACCACAATATATGGTGTTAGGCTACGTACCAAAACTGCTGGAACCTAGTTCAGCAAAATATTTATTTAGAATTCTCTCTGTGGCAGCCAAAAAAAGTTTAACACATTGCTCTGGTTAAAGAAAGTTACCAAGCTATCAAATATGATTAAGAAATACAAGAAATGGAAAGGATTACAGCATGTCTTTGACAACAACTGGCTAAAATTGAAGAAAAGGGGACTCCAGGTCTGAAACCATTAGACGTGTCTATTCTTTGTAGAAAGTGAAAGAAGTTGTAATGACCAGCGTCTCCCTTCTCTCTCTAGTTATGCCTCTTACCTGCTGATAGAAGGAATTGGTGAGATAGAAGGAATTGGTGAGAAGCAATGTTCTCCAGTTTTGAATATGTCAAAAAATCTGGAAATGCCTTTAAAGAGCACAGCTGATGACTTTTTAGGTTAATTCTATCCCTTCTAATCTTCTACTAGCAAACTAAATTATAATTAACATAAATTTACATTCTGAAGAATTCAGAGTGGAGAGGATTTTTCTGCCTTACAAGACCAACACTCAAAAACCCGTGTGGGGAAGGGGCTCAGAGAGGAAAGGAGAGTCCTGTGGGTACATGGGTCTGAACTTCAGAGATCCTGGCACACAGAGCAAAAAACCGGCACGATAGAGTCAGGACTGACAAAAATGCCAAGCCACAAATGACCATATAGACCAGTGAGATTCCTTAAGATGCTTAGTTAAAGCAAACAAGGGAATACATCCAGCCAGGAGCGAGAAACAGAAGAGAGCCTCAGTGAACCGCAAGACAGAGTAGAGGCTCCAGACCACAAGGCTCCAGTGGCTCCAACAGAAAAAGGTGTCTCAATGAAGCCAAGATACTCGCAATTGTTTACAAGACCAGGTATCATCCATTTTAGAAAGTCATTGCTATAGCGGAGGCCCACCCTAAGCAGAGTAAAAACTCTCGTGGAGAGAGCTGAAACGGGCGACTGAAGCAAAGCCTTCTGGAGGAGCAATGCCACACCCAGCAGCTGAAAAGCTCTGACGTCTTGTTCCAGTGATGGCACATCGTATGCCATACCAAGAATGCGGAGAAGCCTAGCCAAACACACAAGAAAATATTAAAGGAAGCGAAAAGCCTGAGAAGCAGTTATTAGGAAAGTAAAAAGTGATCGGAAAATACGAGAGCAAGAACGAGTGCAACGCGGGAACCATGGGAACAGCTCACCGAACGAGAAGACTCCAATTACCAAACAGGCCAAACTGCCAAGAGAGAAGCACAGTAAATTTCCATCTCAAAGAGGGGCTCTGGAGCCTAAGAGCAACTGGAGAAAGAAAAAACAGAGGAGGAGTTAGAGAAAACCCAATGACTTTCATTTGCAGTTAATCTTTATCCCATCATTGATGGAGTGTTTTGCCATCCAGGCAGGAAGTGGAGACACCCACTCTTACAGGCGGGAAGATGGATTTGACATGAGGTATTTTCTGGGATACTCATTGAGCTGAAAATCTCATTGTAGATGCAGTCCATAAATATGACTAAGTCTGTATTCTTAGGACCAAATCACCACCTCCACCAACGTGTGCTGAGAGACAGAGAGCAAGACAGGCCTGAGCAGGTGTGTTTAACCAGGGTTCCCCCACCGGAGTGGTGGCTGTGATGTCCTGCCATGGGCATTGGGCAACCTCGGTGGGGTCCCCTGCGCCAGGGCTTGCCCAGCAGGTCTCCCCAAAGCCTCCTGCCCATGGCAGGATCTTGGTTCTCGGTCATTGTATAAAACTTGCCCTGTCTCCATCAGTAGAAGGAAGCAAAAGCCTGTTTTTACAAAAAATAAAAAGCTGTGGTTGTCCTATGTGAAAAAACACTAGCTCATACAACCCAAGGACACTCACTTGACCTCCTTGGTGGTGCTCTGTAGCACCCTTTCGCATTGGAAGGATGGGTCAAAAATCGCTTAGAGACATCTTATAGGATGTCTTTCTGCAGGATAAAATCTGCAGGTATTTCCTGAAAACCACTCTCTGTAAAAGAATAAAAATGGAGCCCACTTGGAGTGAAACTGTCCACACTCATATGGCGCTCTCAGCCAGCTAGCAAAATCTCATCAGCACTAAAAATTGCTCACACATCTGGAAGAACCAGCGCAGTCATCTGAGAAGTATTTCATTCCCGAGCCGCAGAGAGCTCTGTGTTAGGCCAGTCCTTTTTAAAGACATTCCCTTTCTTTTCTCAGCAACTGTGGGAGATGCTTCATTCCGCAGTTCATTAGTCCTAGAAAAGTCTTTCTTGACCATCTCTGCTTCCAGCCCTGGGGCTATGAAGGTTTTCACAGTGCTGCCCTGCAGCCAAAAAAAATGTGTTCCCAGATATTCCTTCTGCAGTAACTGAAATACAGTTTTGGCTTGCTTCTGTAAAATTAGCTTCTGGCAACAGCAAGGGGAGTTTGCAGAAGCCTGCCTTCCACTTTCTCACCTGATGAGAGGTGAGCTACTGATGCTCAGTGGCTAACACAACGTTAAATCTCTGCCTTAGAGTAAGAGGACTTGTTCTCACATTAAAAATCTTATCAGAATTTTCTCCCCAATTATAGAAGCGGAAAATTCCATGAGACTCCAGTTTATTTTTCAAAATGATGCAAAATACAGTTGTTTGAGGCAGCCGCAAGAACTCCATTTTCCCTGCCCAACCTTTGAAAGAAAGAGAAATAATGTCATAGTACTATGAATATTTATGAACTCCATCTTTGGGAAGAGAGAAATTTAATCATAAAAACATAAATAATTTGACCACCTTTATATAGTTATCTCAACCATTAACAATAAATGATTGCTCTAATATGTCAGAGAGTTTCCTCCAACTTCCCACCAATTCTCTCTAGTGGTTTTTAAATATCCTGAGTCTCTTAGTACACAGCATACCTAAATCATGCAGAACAATGGAGTAATTTCAAGCTGACAACATTTGTTGACGACGTTTGTCAAAACAGGAGTTTCCAGACTCAGTAGGTATTAACAATATCAATGAAAAAGGAAATTGCACTATTTCCCACTGTTTTTTTTATTTTTGCCTGAGTAAGTCATTATCAGACTTCTTCAGTAGTCTTTAGCTCCCAATAAAGAAAAAAAAAAATGGGGCTTATTGCTGTTTGTTTTCTTGGAATCTCTGGATTTAAGAAGAAAGCCAAAAGTATTGTCAAGTACAACAGAGTATTTTTGTATGATGAACATTTAATTTCCAAATTAAGAGTTCTAGATCAGGCATGTATAATGGCAGGAAAAAATTTCTATAGAGAAAGGGACTTTAAGTAGATTGCTTTTTCTGAAAATACCAGACAGATGAATATGTGGAATCCAAGACCAAAATACATTGGCACTAACTTCAATGCTGATATTTTTACAATAGTAATATAATTAATTTTTGTAAATCCCTTACAGCTGTACTACCAATATAGCATAGAATTTTTAATAGGCTATTTTAATCACCTTATTTTTAGAGATGAGATTTTGTCCTGTTCTTCAGTTATTTAAAATTGATTAGATATGTGAGTGAGAACTACTGTTGCAGGAAAGTAAAGGACTAGGTCTTTCACCAGGCACAGAATTATTTCAGAGCAGCCCTTCCCCCCTCATGTCATGTAAAAAAGTAAAACTGAATAAAGTCCTCCTATAAATGCTGATTTAAAAAAAATAGAGAAAAATTATGAATACATCCAAAAGATGAGACTTTTTTTCTGCTTGGATCAAACAAGTTCATTAAGCCAGATGTGCCTGGATTATTCTTATTACAGAGAGCCATAAAAACCTCATGGTTGTTTAGTTATCCGGTGTTGGCTTAGACATAGTCAAAAGTTGAACAACAGATGATATGAGTAACTGCACCATGTTGACCCAAACACACACGCAACGGTTTAATGAACGAGCACGACCAAGGTTGAGAAGTCCAGAACTTGTCAACGTACCAGCATTAACTTTTGTTTGCAACCTTGCACTGCACATTAGAGCCCTTACAGGCTTCATGGATTATTTTTCAGAGGTCTCCAGCATTCTTCTGGTGCTCCAGGTCCTCCAGACCTGATGGGCATTACACCCCGGGACCTCCAGGCAGCGTAGGCGTGAAACCTGCCGCGTCTCTCCTGGACACAAGTGAACTGCTGCTTTTTGAAAGGCTCACAGCCTGCGTGAATTGTAATGGCAAGGCAAGAGATGTCAGGCTGACACAACGACCTGCTTCACTGCCAGATTTTAGCCATTTTCTTTGAAGCAGGAGATGCCAAACCTTACCTCAGACTCCATTTTCAAACACAGGCACAACAATATACTTTTTACCTCCCTTCAGAAACTACTGGGGCTGTGTAAAGTTTTCTGAAACCATCCAGCCGAGACAGACGTTCACACAGACCAAAATGTAGACATCTCTAAAACCAGTAAGAGGAAAAAAAATTACATAAAAATTCTATAGCTTGTTCTTTTTCTATTTTATAGTTTGGGGATCACTTTTTTGTCTTAAGTACTTGTGGCATTAGAATATGCATACAAAATAAAATAGCATTTATGGTTATCAGATGTTTAGCTTTGCTTTAAATTGGTCGGCCAACATATGTAAGCTGGCTGCTCTTTTCCAAAGCAAAGTATTCGCTTTTAATAGCTGACTTACAATGATTTCAAAGTTACATATGTAAATATAACAGCATTCTTATTTGCCTGTTGGGGAATTGGAACAAAATGGATTTTAATAAAAATTTTCAACAAAATTAATATTTTAAACCTTTACAAAGTATTGCAGCTATAATCTTTCTTATCTCAGAAAGTATTTTTATAATTTAAATACACATTAAGGAGTTGGGCAAACGTCCCCTGATGTTTTGAGAAGATTTGCATTATTCTTGAAGTAACATTATTGATTAAAAAAATTATTTCTTTAAGCCCAATATTCTTCACAAGATTTTTTTGGGGTGGGGGGGGTGGTTTTGGTTTTTTTGGGGGGGTGGTTTTGTTTTTTTGTTTGGCGTTTTATTTTTTATCCTTCACTGGGGCAGCACGAGGCTGATTACAAAACAGAGCCTTCCCGTTAAAGTTTGGGCAGTTCATTTGGAGTATTCGCGGGTCCTAAAACGGCACATGTGTCAAAGCA